AAATGAACTTGTCGGTGAGTATTTGTCGGTAAAATGTTATGTCGGTGAAGTGATTGTCGGCGAAATAATACGAACCCGAATTTGCAAAGCGCAATAATCGAAATGATTAGCAGCGTCTCGATTACTAGCAAATCACATTGGAGGAGCTGCTTGAGAACCTAAATCCCGGCAATGGAAGAAGGTATTCACAATTTTCGCATAAATTTGTGAATACTTGGAACGCCCATTACAAAAATTTCAAATTTAAGGTAGATTCGGAACCACTTTTATTTTCATATGTTAAAACTGGGTTTAATTGGTTCTAACATACAAAAAATAAAATCAAATTCTAATTTAAAGTTCTAAAATACAAGGTACATATATATGTACGTATGTACAGTACGTACGTACGTAGTTACCTTGATATTAAACACTTTAAAACAAAAATTTCATACAAAAGTTCAATAAAGATTTTATAGTTAATTACCCACGCTTATCAATAATTCATTTTATAAAATTGTTCACGTTTATTATAAACGATATACTACCAAAATAGCTAAATGCTAGAATAGTTATAAATTATCCACAAATATATAAATTAATATATTTACCTAAATAAAACTATAAACAAAAAAGCGAATCTTAACTAGAACAGAAACAACGCAACTTTACAAATGACTATACATGTAGAATAAATAATCTATTTTTCTGTTGATTCAACCCTACTCTCTATTTCTTTAATCATATTATGAAAGTTGTCTTTCCAATTCGTTTTAACCTTCTCTAAAATTTCTTTAATAAATGGCACATTTTCCTATTTCAAATAAAAAAAAAACCATAATAAATAAACTTTATATAAATAATTGTAGATAATACATATATGTAACATCCATTTATTTACCTCCTCATCGCAAAACTCGACATGTGGTTCAGATTTAATGTAAAGCAAGATTTTATCACAGTCTTCTTCATTTTTAAAAAGTTCCTTTAAGCAGATTAATTGTTTTTTTAAATATATAAGGTGATTCTTTATTGTCAATGACATATTTTGTAGTTTTTGAGCCTAAGAAGAATTGAAAGCAGGATTAAAAGAAAGTTCATTACTTAAATTAAAATAAAAAGATTTCATTCCATTTATTATCATTTACCAACGCTCTCAGACCCGATTTCTTATTTTTAACATTTATTGTTTCGTTTAAAGCCCCAATTCCGATCAGAGAATAATTGCATGTCTAACTCGGATCAAAATAAAAGTTGCTAAGAAAATATTTACGATATAACATATAATATGGCTTATGATTACATACCTCTAAGAAAGAAGTCAGCTGATGAAACAACAACCATTTGATATCATATACTTTTATATGAGAATTGTCGACGGGTTCCGAAGCTAAAATGAAAATGTTACCAATTAAGTATAAGGTCACAGGTGCATGCACTGAATTAGTGAAATTACCTTTTATTGCACTGACTAGTTCTTCAGCAATAGACTCGAAATTCTGGACAAGTTCTTTTTAAAATAACAATAAATTTAAATACAAAGTAAACATAGAAATAGTATTTATATATTCATTGAAATACCTTTTTGCCCATTTTGAATTTCTTTTACAGTTATGAAAAGGCGACCAAGTTTAACGATTACATTACCAAGTTGCATTTCTTGCTCCATTATCTATAGTAATTTTAAATTAATTTATAAATGGATCACAAAGTACCAAGTCAAGAAAAAAAATAATATATATACATTATGATCGCCATTGATTTCCTCAGTTAATACTTTTTCCAATTCTTCAACTAGCTGTTTGACATTATCAGCATTCTGTTCAACATGTATACATTTTAAAATACGTGGAATAATTGAGAAGAGTTTAAGCCATAGTTTCTGTAAATTTATAGAAAAAAGAAGATTATTATAAAATATTATCAATTCTTTTTTATATCATTATAGTAAAGTTGAGATTTCCTACGTCAAGTTTTGGTGATACTCTAGTAATCTCTTCCATGGTTGGCTTACTATCAGGATTATAATTTGGCATGGAAACAAAATCTCTGTTATCTCGAAGATTTGTACAAAAACCATCTAACCAAAAACGTAAAATAATCAAAAACGTAAAATAATTATTTTTTAAAACAATATACGAAGAAATGAGAAATAAACCAGTTCCAAATTCTAATATGCATTAAAGAAAATTGCATAGAATACCATCATATGAAAAATCAGAAACATCCAAGTCTTGGAAATATTCTATTACTTGTTTATTGGTTTTTGAAGCAATTAAAATTTCTAGTCGTACCATTTCTCGATCAACGAGAGCCTTCTGTAAAGAGTTCTCAAGTTCTTTCCGAAGTGCAACGAATTCTTGAATCTGAAAAATAAAAGTGGTTATAAATAAAAAATTATAAGATTAACATGTCAAAACATTATTGTACATTACTTTGGAAAATGTTGTAAATTTGAATGCTTGTACTATCATCTCAGGTGTCTGCAAAAATTGCCGTAATCAGTAATTCATAAATTAATAATATAATTCAAGCGGTAAGTTATATACACCTCAAGTTCATTACTACGATAAATAGGTGTTGTATCGTAACAAGCTTGAGTAGATTCATCAAAGAATCCTGATGAAAAAGACCGTGAAACTATGTAATGACTATGAAAGAAAAGGTTAATAACCGAAATAATCATCTTAATATTACTTATAAAACGTGTTGATACCTCATAGTATCCAGTTGAATATGTTTAATATCCATTGATTTGTATAGCTCTGATGGCCTGTCGAAGACGCCTGTTGAGTAAAATTTAATAGAAAATATAAGAAATTTAGCTTGTTAATCAAGCTTATTGAAAAAAACTAGCTTACCGATCGTCTGATACAATCTTATCAAAATTAATTTAAACTGGAAGTTATAATTGCTTTTTTTCATTGCAGCTTCTAAGAGGAAAATTGCTTGAAAGATATAACTGCTCTTGCCTTTAATTGAAAGAGAATGCGCGTTTTAAATACCGTTCACAGGTTACATGTAACGAATATTGCTAAAGCTCACCAGATTTTTTATATAAATCAATTAAAACATGTGAACATAATAAGATAAAGTCATCGCCGTGTTGATTTTCTGCTTCTAGCAACTTGGTTCCTGCGAGAATTCAATTGATTACATATAATTCTTAAAAGCTTTAATTATTACATGTGAAAAATAAACATAATAATACCATATTGAAGCGAGCCTTTATATGAACGCCATAATTTATTAACATATTGTGTTGATTCGACCTCGTTATATTCTACAAGTAAATTTAGATATCTCTCAAACTTATGAATATTTACATTCTTTTTGACGTTTTGAATCTTGGACTATGGCAAGATTAAATATTAATAAGTATACATGCAATGCCACATTCAATGTATTATTGAATCTAAAAAAAATTCCAAGAACCTTATCGTCATCACCAGACTCATCAATTGTGGCTTTAAATTTCTCAATTATTTTTTTAGCAGAATCTATATGAATTTCCTTCAAATAAGGTTGCAAATCTTCGAAGCAACAAGCTTTGGATCCAAACCTGAGAAAATAATCGACAATAAGAGTATCGATTTCTTTTGCCGGTTTACCTATATTACATATTTATATTTATCACAAACAATAAATTGATTTACAAAATATAATACTATTACTGACATACAATCTTTTAATTTTTCGACTACGCTCTTCTCCAATTTAAGCTCAGCAAGGAAAGGACCCCGTTTGATATCAGAACTCTCTATCACACTTTTTTGTAATGAATACAAAAACTCGCGAGCTTCGTCCAAATTGACAGAATCTGAACTGTTTTAAACAACAAATATAGTAATATTGATCATAATTAAACACTTGCAAGTAGTAACAGTCAATTAATCGATTAAATAAATATACCTGCTACCATTCTCATTCTTATCAGACTCAGAAAGTAGGTGTAAATAAGATTCTAAGTATGTAACATAGCTGTTCCAATCATCCGGACTATTTTGGAATTAAATGTCATGTCAGATGATTTGAAACTCCTAAATATTGATCTCATTTTCCTAAAAATC